GCCGGAACGCGGCGGAACCGCGTTCCGGCACCTTTTTCCGGGCCGGCCGCACCGGAAATAGCCCCTCCCACACCGGAAATAGCCCCTCCCAAATTTTACTTGCATTCCTGTTCTCTAAAGGGGCGGTCCTAGGGTTTGATGAGGGCGTGGCCAGGTTTGAGTTCCGCCACCTTTTCTCCGAGAAAAAAAGCCCTGATGGTACTATCTGTGCCTAATTGTATTAAATAACCTGGTTTTGCTAACTATTCTGCTACTGCTTACTATTAAAATTATTAAAGAGCACAGGGCCCAGACCCAATATTGTGATATTTCTCCACTGGCCCATTGAGTTAAGATTTCCAGTTAACTAGTTCGATAATGAGAATGTCACAGTACCTTTTAAAATGTTTTCTTGAAATCAAGATATAGTACATATACACCATTCCCAAAATCAACTAAGAAAGTTATCCACTGATGTATTGTTGACAAAGAATGCTCATTTATGATAGTTAATATACTGTTTTCAATTTGCTTAGAAATTGATCTCTTTAATATCTATTTCAATTTTTTTTCTAAGTACTTATGTCAAAGAGATCTGTAATTAATTATTTGTATTTCTGTTCTGAAATAGTAATATTTGTCTTTCTTTTTCTCATTTATAAGTTTTAAGATAACAGTTGGAAAATATTTCTTAGTAATATTTAAAATTCCCAGGAAACATGAAAAATGCATATATTGCTTTGGAAAGTTGCTGGATATAGAGAATATATATTGTAGTAAGGGCTTTTCTTGCATAAGAAAATTATTCATTTATCATTTCTGTAAAAAGAGCCGTTCTTTCCATCAGAACAGAAGTGGGCAATGCATACAAAACCAGCTCCATGTCTGCAACCTTCAAAAGCTTTCAGGATTTGGCAGCTAATATTTGGCAGCAAATTTTTCAGCGTTACTGTATTTTTGAAACAAAACTGAGCCTTTAGTTACGCATGTTTAAGTATCTGTTAAGGAGATTTAACAGATCTATGTTGAGTAACAGCCATAAACATTCATAATCATGTTTAAGTTAAGAAACAGGCTGAAATTTTTATTCCCATGAATTTATGATTTCCATGCATATTTGTGTTCCCATAAATCCCTGAATAAAAATGTTGTGCACTCAGAAAAAGAAAACCTTCAAATAAAACGAATAGTACATACGAATTCTTGATTTAGAAATACCAACCACTAAGCACAATGGAATCCATATCCACTGCAAGGCCTTGAAGACTTCCTACCGAGGTTCGATTGGTGATGCTTGTGTGAATTGAATTTCTTAAAATAGCTGCAACACAGTCTGCACAAAATATTTGGCCCTTTGCCTGTTGTACCACAAACACAATCCAGAAATGGACAAGGAGTCCCCCATTGTTGTTATTGCTGAAATCAGTACAAAACAAATTGTATTTATTTAATTGATTTATATGGTTGTTTGTATAGTTCTATTTTCAAGGGCTTGGGGCAATTTCCAAATAAAGAAAATAAAGAATAATTCTAAATTATTAACTAAGTGAACAAAGATTATCCACAAAGGCAGCCCAGGTCGACCTTCTGGATTGAATGATCCTCAGTACAATACAGTTTTAAAAACTTTGTAAATGTGGAGCAAAATGAGGCCCAACAAACCTCAAGCGGCAAAGTATTCTATGCTGCGTGAGCTGCCATTGATAAGTATAACTTTGAGGCCGCTCTCTTGTGTCACAGAAATTGGGAATCCTCTATTTTCAGGATGCATGCATATACTGGGCTAAATCTGGACAGGAGAAATGTCCCACTATGTATTTGAGCGCCATGCTATTTAGGACTTTATATGTGATATCCACTCAGAAGCTTGTTGGCTTACATAACAAACTGATAAGCTTGAAAATTTAAACTCCTATCATTATTCAAAGTAAACGCTAATAGATTTTGAAATATACAATGTATTAACATGAAATGGAAATGTTGCTTATACTGGCATTCAGTCATTTATAACGTTGTGCTTAACTTAAAAACTTAATTGACTTGCACCAAGATAAGAAGATATTTATCATTAAATGATAAAAACGAACTATAAATTGTGTCCCACCTGACATCAGAGACAATGGATTGCTTGTAAAATTTTGAGAAAGCAGATTTGGTATACACCAGATTCATCTGAAAGAGAAAATTTACAGACTTGTTTGACTATCCTGCATAAAGTCAATTTAATTTTATTGAAAACAGTCTATATTGTGGATTCTTAACAAGAATTAGTGATTATTTCTGAGAATGATGAAATATTTTTATAACAACATATTCATTTATGAAAGTAAATAGCATCACTTATCACAGCTTTTGTTTGCCTGGTTGTAAAAGTTCCCACCCTCCTCTGCCAATTTTTAATTAGATGTGACTTAAATCTACATTTGGAAAGCCAAATGAGGTTGTACCAGCTTGAAATAAAATTAAAATTCATGATTTAATGGAAACGAAGTGAGAATCCATTACTAATTAAATTTTAGCCCAAGAATAGTTTCCTCAGACAGATAGCATCGTCAGCAGTTGCAATTTTCTACAACTCAGAGTTTCCAAAAATACTCAGAATACTCTACAATAAAAAAACTACTTCAGAAAAAAGCATGACAATAAGATAACCCAAGAATAAAGTTACAATAAAGATGTTTTTCATTATTTTCCACTAGTTAAAAATGGAAGCATATCAAGAGTTATTCAGAGAGAGATGTACATGTTTTACAACTACAGTATGTATTTCTTCTTCCATGCCCATTTTTTTCTTTTAAAAAAAAAAAACACCTGTGTGTGCCCACTTCCCTGGTCTAGTTCACAGGAGTTCAGCAAACTGTTTAATTCTAAAGTACTATCCAGAAATTAAATATTTTAATGAGCAATAATAATTACAATTATTGCTGCGTTAGTGAATCTTTCAATTGTCCTTCAAAGCCAGTGGTGGGATTCAACCAGTTTGCACCACTTCGGCAGAACCAGTAGCTAATTTTTTGTTGCCCAGGCCCAGAACGGACTTCCGGAAGCAGCATCCAAAC